GTGAACTGCTTTTCTCGCTTTATCCTCTGAGATATTTTCACAACTTCTTGATCGACAACATTTATCTCTGACAAATCTGACATATAGTCACTGTCTACCTGCGGAGTCTAGATGAGTTGGAAACCGTGCATCGGGTAGAGAGTGTGAAGATAGACTCTCAAATGAACCAGCTGAGCTATTCTCTTTTCTAAAGAAGAAAACATATTCTCTTTTCATTCAAATATTTGTCACTATCCTGCTATAAATTTGGCTCACTCTTCCCCACTCGAACTGATTCCTCCTCTGTCTCCTCATGACTAATATCCATCTTGATGGTTTTCATGTTTTCATGTTTTCATGTATGATAACATCTCTGTTGTCACATCATCAGTGTCTGGGTTGTAAATCCTATAACCTTTGATATGATCTGAAAAACCAACCAAAATATGTTTGCAAGACTTTTTGTCAAATTTCAAGGGCTTCTGTTTTGGAACGTGAACTGTATTTCCAAAGACACGTAATCCTGGAACATCAGTTTTCTCACCTGTGCACAACTCAAAAGGTGTTTTTCCACTTACGCCGCTGGCGATGCATCTATTTTTTGAATAATGGGGACATAATTAAATAATTTTCAAAAATGCTGTTTTCATTTCACATATTTAAACGTACTGGAAAGGCGTCATTGTATGACGTATATACACATTCCGACCAATGAGAATCGTTCACAATAGCTTTGGTGCACATTTTATATGCTTTCCTTGTCTAAGCTCTAAAGAGTGACAATGATGAAACTCCTCATTCGTTATTTGCATCTTGTTAGTTTAACGCTGGTCAACATAACGACATGACGTTAGACAGTGCAACGTTGCCAAACTGAATGTCGTGATTCCTTAATACTAAAATGACGTGGCATAAATCCTTTTTCAACACTAGAAAAACTGTTATTCTACAACTAAACCTATTAACAATTAAAAAAATTTATTAATTTTATAACTGTAGTCCAAAATATACAACAAAAAACTATATAATGCAAGGATAAAAACGAGGTTTCTAGAGGCAATCTTGGAAATCAACAATGACAACGTACTTATTTGTAGTATATTTTGGCTAGTTGTAGGGAATGACGTCATATTCGGCGGGTTTTCTGCGGCGTTTGAAATGCTGCTGAATTTATATTTTTTATTAAAAATTAACAGCAACTCAAATGTTCCCCAAAATAGTGTTAATAGACTTAGTTTGTGTTCTAGAATTAGGAAAAAAAAAAAAAAAAAAAAACTCTAAATATCCCCATTAGATGTATTGATGGCCTCCGCCTAAAACCTTATATGCAGACCTGCATCGAAAAGTAGACATCTCACATTTTCCACCAGTTTACGGTTGTGTCTTTCTAAAAGACTATTTTGTTCAGGGATGTAAGCATTTGTCTTCTAATGTACAATGCCTTCTGCCCTAAAAAAACTGTCAAATTTATTACTACACCACCTTGGTCACTGCGAACAACTGCATGCTTTTTGCTTTTCTACCATGGCTTAAAACCGCTTGAAATACTCATGAACTTCTCTTTTCTCCTTTAAAAAATATACAAAGGACATTCTTGAGAAGTCGTCAACAAGAAGCAGAAAGTATTTTGAGCCACCAATTGAAATCGTCTCCATAGTGGTTGAGAAAGGCAGTCTTGTTTTTTTGCCTTCACAACACAGTTTGACTTCTCAATTGTGGCAGCTCCTTTCAGTTCCAAGCCACTCACACAGTGCTTCATTTTATTTAGGTCTTGACTGTTTATGTGTGCAAACCTCCTATGCCAAAGTTC